TCGTTTTCTTAGATTGTTACTGATAATGAAAGCTTGTTTCACTATTTTACACCAATTTGCAAGTGTAACAATACAATTTCGGAACCAGAAATGTTCATCGACCATGTTTTGCGATTGCCAAGTGTCAAATTACATTTATGTAGTACTACGTTCTTCTTTCTCCAAATTCCAGTGTCTAGTTGCTATCACATCCAAATATTATGATATATTTTCGTGTAAAGAAAAATTGAAAACTCTTTAATTAAGTTTGTCTTTTGACTGATATAAAAGGACTGTATTATCTGCATGAAAACGCTAATGCATACAAAAGAGCTGCTGTAATTGAATTTTTAAGAGGAAACGGGTGGCTGTCCATAAACTTATACTGTATCCTTAGACTTGACACTCTGATACCATTTTTTGTCATTTAGTGACTGAACAAAAACACTTGCAAGTCATATCATTAGTAGAAATGGTCTTAGTTTGGCTATTTGTCGGTTATTTAAAGAGATACCTTATTGTTCAATATTCGTTCTTTTGTTAAATTTATTAACCACATTGGATAACATATCAACCAAGCCTTGTAGTATGCCAATTTATTATTTGTGCACTTTTTTGAAATTTGCTTTTTATAATTTATTCACAATTTTGTGTTTGACAGGTGTATTGTGGTGTTTTCCAGAGAGGCCTATCTAGTCGATCAAAACAGAATTACACCATGGTACTTAATAAATAATGCATATGCTTAAACAATAAATGGATGGTGTTTTAAGGTTATGACGTAATTATAAATGTATTTATTTCTACATATTTTTTTACTTCCTCTGGGAATACTTTGTAATTAAAATTTATAGTTGAATTGCTAATTGTTCTAACGGAGTGTTTGTTTGGCAATCCTTCCATTCGGAAACATGGCTACTTTGTTAATATTGCATGAGTTGTATCAAGAATGAATACAACAGAGCACAAATAGAAATGTTCGCTGAAATTGATGCTCTCTAATATATAATATTTAATTGCTGCGATCCGAGCTAGCCTGAAATAAAACAAACACTAATCTTTGTTCGGTATAAACAGGTAAGTCAAACATGACAACTTCCTTGACCAGAGACAAGCCTAAATATTTACTATAATTACTTCTTAAACCGTACTCAATCTAACAAAAAGCTACTGTTACAATCAGAATAAAATCGTAAAAATGCAGTAATAATTACAAGGACTATGTCAAACATACTTAATGTAATCAAACATGACATTGTCTTACTGACCACACACTTGTGCGAAGTTTCTTTTAATATATCACGTTTTTGAGGTACAGACAAACTAGAGACCATAATAATTTGCATACTCAATTGATTGATTGAGCTTGAAACGACATCTAAACTTTGTTATTCTTACGAGCGTATTGCATGACGAAATTGAAAACGATCCCTTATGGCATAATATGTTTTCTCATTGAATTCATATATAAATATTTCTAATACCACTTGAAATCAATTCTAATAAGTTTATCAGTTAAGATGCTGTGTCATCTTTTCACAAACAGCTCAGGGTTTTGTTGTCAGAGTTTCCTAATTCTTTATGTGCGGACATAGCAGCGATTAGTTTGCCGACAGGAAATATTTCGTTACCATCAATATATCCTGGATTCAATCATTTAATTATATGCTAGGAATATTCAAAAGTTGTTATAAATCTACATATCTTATTTTGTTTTATTGACATACGCATTTTATATATTTATCCCGATTGAATTATTTGTGTTTCAAGATTAAGAACAGAAAAAAGAACGCATTCTATTGAAGTATTTGTATTGTTTGACATACATTGAATTTGTAATATCGACAATCGCATATCGTACTTCTAAGAGAAAAAGGTGTCTAACGACTGTTTCTTTTCATCCTTCTACTTAAACTTATCCTAGATATATGTATTATTAACTTTGTCCGGGATTGTATACATGCATTTCATAATGAAAACGTTGAAGGTTTAGCTATATAGTTTGTTGGGAGAGCCTGTTCATTGTCATTTTGGAATACAATATGTTTTTTATCAATACTGATAAAGTGCCAAATTTAATGATCAATAAAACTTCAATGTGACTCTTTCGATCCATTCCTTGAAAAGCAGAGTATTGAATCAAACATTGTTTGTGTTCTAAACAAGAAAGAAATGGCAGTGCTTAATTATATGGAGTTTTAAATAAAAATATTTAGCCCTCCTTTGTTGCGAATTTATTTAAAACGAATTGTTCGAATCATAAAGCATTTGTTAACATGTGATGAAACAATGGCTCTAACGTTTTGAATATTGATTGCATTAATATTTAAGGTAAATTTCAAAGTATTTTACCTGTCTCGGGTATAACGAACTATCGCTGTTATCTAAAACAATTTGTTGTATCAGTCATTAATCAGTCATGAATAATAACAAAAGGAGAAACGTGGTGACAGTTTTGTTATGTCTGTTAGTAATAGACTAGTCTTGCAAAATGAAAAGTTTATCTTTTTTATAATTTTTGAATTTTCATATACTCTTTTTGCAAATAAGAACCTATAGGAAATACATGTATTATGTTTTAATGATCAAATTCATACGCCGACATAAGACTCAAATTTAAGACACGTCGGATTAATTAAATAATTCTGAATTATGGGTAATCATGGAACATCTAATGTCATTCTTGCGATTCAATGACTTTTCAGTGTCTCTTATATTTATTTATTTATCCATCCATCCAACAATGGACCTGATCAGACATTAAAACGTTAACAATGAATTGGATTAAGCATATATCCATTATTAACAATTACGATAAGGTTGGCAAAAATTTAATTTAAAAGAATGCAATAGCAACAGTACTTGCAAGCCCTTACAAAAACAAATATACTTCTTTTTCTGAACATTTAGTCTAAAAGTTGATACGAATTCACTCATTTGAGAGGTTTATCTTATATTTGCCTTATTAAAATTAAAAGTGTATAATTAACTGAATAAAATCAGTTTTTTTCTATGAGTACCACGAAACATGATTTAAGTGAAATTAAATTGGTTTCCAACGATAGAACACTAGTTAAACATTGTAAAGCATTAAATAACGATACACATTTTGTCATCATACTTAACTTTTTTTTGTACATTGATATTCAAATTGTCATTGAATTAACTAGAAGAGGAATCAAGCAATTTAGGTAGCACACGAGTCTCGCAAAAGGAGTTATCATGTAATGCAAAAACAAATGTTTATTGATTACATACAATGGTAAAATATTGTTTTTTATGATATATCACAAATATTTACATTTTTGCAATATCATATAGAACACGTACTTGTGCTTTAATCATACAATACTGTAAACAGTCGATTAAGTGACAAATTAGTCTATATATTTGAATTGAAATATTTTTGTAAATATCTTTAAGTAAAAACCTTAAAAATTGTTTTATTTTCATGACGTGACATAACGTCAAATTTAATCGTTAATGTCATTGTAATGATTGTTTTACAACATTGCAGAATCAACAAGAAGACCAAATATCATTGCTTAAAGAAGATCCTAAGCAAGAATTGTTAAAGATGATAATACAAAATATAAAAGAAAGTCTTTATACTTATAAACATTCCCGTAAGATTTTTATCACTAATTAATAAAGTTCGTTTTATGTGTACGTAGAATATTGCGTGAAATGATGTTTTTTTAACAGCAATGGTAAAAATTGTGTTCACTAAACGCCACTTTAACACTTTGTTAAAATGTTTAGTCCAATAATATAAAGGACTAACAAACAACTTAAAAATGGTGTCCTTTGGCATAAAAGCTTAAATTAAAGCGTTGTTATTGCATTCTAAGCAAAGTGAATATCTCAAGATGTCATACGAGCCATATATATTATGATTTAATGTTCCAAAACAACATATAAGATCCAAAAGAGCAAGTGTATAGTCAAAATAACGCATGTTCATACTAGAAAATCAAATGCAATCAAGAAATTCCAATATAAATCACATCCTTTGTTTTTTCTTTTACCTTTTCATATGGGAAGAAAGCAACATAAAAGCAGAACGATGAAGCATGTATCAATTCGGCGCAGACAATTTAGATATTAATATAAAAGTTTCACACATGAATATTTTGTTAATGCTATTTTTTGTTTGTTTTTTTTTTGGTTTAAAAAAAAAGAAATATTACAATTAACCACAAAATGTTTCAATCATAACGCCCATTATGGAAATTCAATACATTCTGTTTGAAGAGTCATCATAATTATCAGTATTTTCATCAGGCGTTTTAGACTTTCAGATAACAATATTACAAAAGTACATAGTACATCAAATACACAGTTATTGTTATTACAAGTCAAGAGCCATATTCAATAGTTTATTAACATCATTTTGCTTCTAACATATCTATATAACATCGCTTACACTGATTAAAAGGCCGCGCAATAACGAGTTTTACTTTGATTCTGGTTTATCGGATTAAAGAACATTGTTCAGTAAACTACCTTTAATGTCAGTCAGTATTTCTATTTACTGCCACTAGATTTTATTTGATAGTTTAAGTGACATACTATATGCGGCCAACTTAAAGACTTTTAAGGATTAAGCAAATTTAAACCGTTCCATAGAATTTCTTAAACACGGAATGTTGTTAAACTATAAAAATAATAATTTTGCTATTGTAAAGTGACAATAATAAAAAAAACATTGATTTGTCTTTGCATGCGTTATTTAAAAAGCATTGATATTCTGATGTATTGTTTTTTATGAGCTACCTTCGTGAAATTAGGTATTTATTATAATTATTATATAGTTTTATTATAATTAATATACTATTCCATAACTAATTATACGTAGCATATCATAATACAAATGCAAACTTATATTTAACTTTAAATGCATTAATTATATATTAACATATAGCTTGGTTAAAAATATTAGGTAGTTTTGTTAAATCTGTTAATAAAATGCATAAACTGTGTATTCTAAACAACACTTGATCCAATTTTGTATAGTGAATTTTAGTGCTGCACTTTATTCTGGAATGATTACCTGAATCACGAAATTTCGAAAATGGATTTTGTCAATACACGTTCATTATTTTCAGCTTAACTATTCTATCAGCTGAATTAAATTAAAATAAACTACTGTGAAAAAGATACAAACATCGACAGATTAAGTACACATTTTTGCTACACTAAAAATTATATACCATGTCCATGTAGTCGACATTTTCGTACCGAGACGAATCTTACCATATCACTTCTTTTGTTAACCGATAAGTAATGTTAAGCTTTTTTTGTTTTGTTCTTTCCAGTATCGTAATAAATATGTCAAAACTTTAGTACAGTATCGCATTTGCCGTCGTTGAAGTGTTAAGGGAAATTTCTTTTAACCTTCATTACTACACTGCGAATAGAAAAACTATGATCCTAACAATGGTACCAGGTTACCCCCTTGCCGTGCGAAGAGTGATTCCCTGATAAGTACAAACCATTCAAATTGCTAGCATGACAAACTTTATACCACCATGCACCTTTGTATGTTTGAGCGCAGTTGTCTTCTGATTCGTCGTTATCCCTATCTTTCGTAGTAAACATATTTTCATCATGGTAATTAAGACCATCACCATAATTTCCGGAGAAACCACTTACATGCAATCTAAAATTTGAATCTTTGTCGTCAACTCTAAAAGTGTCATACTGGGCATTAGCATGTGTGGATGATACGTCTTCAGATGCTTCCATTTCAATTTTCAAAGAACTGTTTACAGTAGTAAGCCGATATATATTCTCAAGGCCAAGCCAGTACTCTCCAGATTTGTTACCGAATCCACAAACATAATCTGTCCATGTTCTGTAGAAATTCTCTGACCCATCCAGTCGACGTTGTATAACTGTCCATCCACCATTTTTCATATCGCACCATGTTTGTATGTTTAAACCTATGAGGGGTTGTATTGTATATAAACCATCTTCTGTCGATCCTCTTTCAAAAAGTGAAAGACAGTCATTTTGTTCTGAAAGTGTGAATACAACATACAATTTTAAAGTAGAACATAACAATTTGGAACTTTAGAGTAATCTGAAAAATTGGCATGTGAAAAGATCTCCGCATTTCTGATAGGATTCCGTTGACTGTATTTAAAGTGTTTTCATCAGTTTCTGTACACAAAGTTGACCACCATATTCGATTTTTACAGAGCCACTAAGGTTACATTTTCCACACTGTTTCCCCGGGAATTTAATTCGTAATTACGAAATATTAATTCGTTATTACAAAATATTAATTCGTTATTACGAAATATTAATCCGTAATAACGAAATATTTATTCGTAATTACGAAACATGAATTCGTTTTTACGAAATATTATTTCGTTATTACGAACTTACATTCGTACTAACGAAATATTAATTGGTTTTTACGAAACAATAATTCGTTTTTACGAAATATTTATTCGTAATAACGAAAAAGTAATTTGTTTTTACGAAAACTTATTGGAGGTCATTGTAAGCTTGACAAAAAAAGAAAGAATTATTTAGAAATTTAGTTCTAATAACTAAACATCAACATCTACGCAGTCGGTAGGCAATTATATTTATAAATACTTTATTAATATGAAAAAAGTTTTGACAAATATTAAACATTATACCAATTAAACACATCAATGATCATATGATATATTGGACACGTATTGAACATCATAAACTAAGGGTTCCTGATAGGTGTGTTTTCCGATATTTTCATGATCATGAGTAAATTAACATGAACGTAAACGTTATTGGTGATATCATTATAGTCTGCAACATTTATAACTTTGTAACTATGTTTTTTTTTGTAAAATAGCAAGTTCATATGTACAACAAACTAATTGCTAGAAAATGTAATCAGATTGAAATTCCGTGTAAAATGCTTTTTGGGAGTATGTTTAAACAAAAACTCAAATATCAGAGAATTTAACTAGAACATTAAAAAGCTATCCTACACATTTTATTTTAGACCTATCATTTAAATGTTTATTTTATATTGGAAAAGACTATCTTTCACATTTTATTTTAGAACTTTACTTTACATTTTATTATAGAATGTCAAGAACCTATTCTTTACGAATTATTTTAGAATGGCAATTGAGATTCCAAGATTTTGGTTTGTAATTTTAAAATGACCAATTGAAAATGAAAATTTATCTTATATTAAGTTATTTCCTGTTAATACTATAGATGATTGTCCGCCCCTACCCTCTTTGTTTTATATACAGAATCCATATTTGATAGAATAATGAATTTCATACTTAAATTTAGTAACATACCGCATACTACGTATTTAAGTAACATGCGGACTTTTGAAAACAAAGTTCCCGTATATTACAAGCGTACGGATCACGGCAAATTAGTAGTTTGGATTGCATAAAATTCGGTCCGTTCTATCATTGTACTTGAAAATGACCATATTTTTAACCACATGCATATATTTACAAATTAATTTTTGAATTCAGAACACTTCCGTACATCTATATAGTTTTCGTAGTGGTCGTCTAGTGGGTGCCGTTTTTCGACATTTTAACTCATGGCGACTATTTTACTGATAAACAAAATACAAAACAATTGTGATAGCGTGGCTTTTACAAAAGGGTGGGAAATAAAATCACGTCTGCCGAAATAAATAAGTAAATAACCCACATAGTTTTGTGTCAGTTTAACTGAAAGTATACAATTTTGAAGACGTTGATAGAACAAAAGAAAATTTTCTCTAAGATTGTTTTTAAAAGCCGCTTTGAGTCCGAAAACTGTAGCTGAACTGCACTTCAAATTTTACATACACACAAAAAGAAAATAAATACAATTGTTTTCAATATTTGTCGGCGTAACACGATTAATCATATATCAGCTTGAAGGAACAAAGGATTTCCGTCAAATACTGTTGAATTTAAGATCATAATTTGTAAGCAGGCTGCGTTCTAGTTCCCGTAAAAGTAGCCAAGGATACGCAGCGACGTTTTTCTTATAAAATGGGATTTAATGGTCTACTTTGACGTGCTGTGTACAAAAAAAATCGCTGAACATCTTGGTATAAGATCTGAAATATGGTTAATTTTCAAGTGTCAATTTTCAAGACGCCACTCTAAAATTCATTAAATATCGCGTTTTATGAACACAATTATCATCATCATCAACAACATTATCATGGTCATCATCCACTTCATTAGTTGTTATCATTATCATTACAATTATTATACTATTCCAAAACTTATCCTAACGCACATATAAAAAAAATTATTATGTAAGTTCACCTAATTTTGTTGCTTATGAGGAATCACCCCTTATTGTGCTTTTAATATTTAAATGTACACATTAAATAATATATGTTTAGTAGGGTTATAAAAGTAAAAAAATGTTTGTTACCCTTTCTTAATTTTACAGTTTATACTTTGCTTAACTTACCAATAATAGGGCGATGTGCGAGCATTGACCCAGGCTCCAGACACGGAATACATTTTAATGTACTTTTCTTTTGTACCCTTGTAAGTTGGCATAACAGCTTGATAAATATTTACATCTATTATCACATTACTTTTTAAGTGGGCTCAAGGTCACGTTAAATATTGAATTTTGAGTTTCTGCGCTAGATATTAAAAAGTTCATGCTTGTACTATTAACTGTTTAAGATTATTTTTTCAGATTTAGTCTTGGGTCAAAGCTAAGAAATGTGTGTTAAAACTAATTGAGTACAGATGTAAAGCACTCGATTCTCAGCATGCTCTTTATCCTCTCTCCCTCAGATGAAGATAATTTTTAAAGATTTCCTCTTACATAAAGTTGTTCATGAGAACAGTTATAAATACTGCAACTGATGCAAGTTTCCTGTCTGTCTACTCCAGAGTTATTAAAATCTATTAAATCTATTGTGATGAACGATACAATGTGTAATGTAATACAGTTTTATGCAATGCGTATTAGCTTCGCGGGGACCATTAAATTATTGATGAAGTTGTCCCACAGGAGGATGTGTCAGTCTGTTGGGTATTGTGTTAAAATAAAACATGTCATGGTTTGAACCATTATGAATATAAAACAAAAATATTCGCATTTTTTATATAAACCATCTCACGGTACAATTTATTGTTTTAGCACCATGTGGTTCTATTCTTGTAAATCAATCGAACATAAATTCTCATTTGTCAGCTGAAATCATTAAAATTATATGACATCATAAACAGAATACAGAGTTTCAAAATTTACATATTCACGGAGATCAATCATTTTCAAACAATGGCACAAACAGATAAAATACTAAAACACACTTGACAATTTTAAAATGCATGAACATTACTGTTTCAAAGTAATTATTTCATATAGTTTTGCGTACTTTCCAACGCAAATTTAAAGAAGAAAGAACACAGCAAAATAGAAAAATCCAAGAAACCATATAATGGGAAGCCACAAACAAAAGCAGTGAAAATGGTGCATGCTCGGTTTGTTTTGTCGGGATCATGGACTGTAGCGGTATGTTCTACATGTACAAGTTATTGTCGCTGCGACCCCTCATCGCCACGATCAGCAGTGGCTGTTTAATAAAAACGAAAGTGTTGAAATGTTGCATTAGAAGAATCTGGAGATAAGTAATGTTTTGAAATATAGTTTAAATGAATCAAATTATATTCAGAGTGGTTCACAAATTTAGCCTTTTCTGTAGTTTACATGTCGATATCAACAATGTTTGCATACTGTTAGATCTAGTTTTTTCAACAAAGGTGTTGTTACTTTACAATGCGATAATAGTATAACGTATTCTGCAATGTCTTTAAAAAATGAAGGGAGGTTATCGGTACTTAATATTATCTAGAAATTATTTTAAGTTCATGTTCTTTGTTTATTAAGCACGAACTCAAAACAAGAAAAGAAAAGAAATTGATTCATCTTAATGTACTCAGGGCACATGCAAAAACGCCTGTTTTCCATATGCAACAAACAGTCAACATTTGAGAAAATTCAATTTCTGTTTAAGACAGAGCAAAAATATCTCCGATTTTGACAGTATATTGTAAATTATCCTTAAGATTGTTAAAAGCTATTTGCATTTATTTAATGCAAGAAAAGAGTAAATGTTTCATAATATGCTGGTAATTATGATAATAAAAATTGCAAAACCAGCTGAGCTTCAAATATCATGAAAAAATTATGCACATTTAGTTGTTTTTGTTAAATGAAAACAGCAAGACGGTTTTACAGATAATAAATGGCTTGTTAATATTTTAAATAACGTATTACATTGTTTAATACACTACCAGAAAACAGTTGTAAATGGTAATGGCTTAATATTCGTTTACAAGCGTTAAATGATTGATATTAACTATACAAATATTTGAACATGTTACCTGAACCATATTGATTTCTTATTCTGCGCAAAAATCTTCACATTGAACCTGGCAGATACGAAAAAGATAGAAAAGGAAAACAAAATAAAGTGTACCTCATGTGTTTAACAGGAAAAATAGAAGACGCGTTAAAGCTGCACGCCTCCAGATGAGCAAAACATTTCGATAAAATCAAAACTGAGAAAAAGATTTTAGGAAAAGAATAAAGATTAAAAATTCTAGTAAAAGTTTTCATGTTATGTGCGATTAATAAGCATTTTTATTTAACTTTCATAAAAACATTTCAGTATCAGTCGAAATAATTTAGCAATTTCTTGAAAGGATGGCGTACTGTCTAGACTTGGTACTGATCATTCCTGTAAAGTTTGGATGAAATTGCACCAGTAGTTTATGAGCAGTAGTCCGGACAAGCTTTTGTGTATCTGGCAACACACAGAAAAAAACACCTTTTTGTCAAAGGGCCATAACTCAGCCAAAAATCATTCAACCGGATAACCCGTGCAATATGCGCAAGGACTTG